ACCAAAGGTTTCGCCATAAATTTCGCCCGCGGTAGCGGCCATGAGACAGGCGCGTGGACCCCCCACACAGTGAAAGAGGGAACCATGACAACGAAGGCTGGGACCCTTCGGGTGAGACCCAACGCGGGGAGCTCTGACCATGAGAGCAACCACTAAGAAACGACTTGAGCCTGGACTCCCTGTGCAACCTCCAGGCGAGCCGCAAAGCAGGGTTTCTCCAAGGAGAGGGCACATATCGGCCCGCACGCGGTGAGTAAGTCCAGATAAGGCAAACCCACATCGCAGAGACTAGAGTGCAGGTGATCCAGCGAACAGCAATGGAAGCGATGTGCGGATGGGGGCTACCACGTAGGACCTGCGGGCATCATCTTACAGGCAACCGCCGCCAAGAGAGTCACCACGCAGGGGAGCCTGAGGCCCACCCATGCCCGCCTGCGGCCAGGACCCCGCGGATACGGCCATGGGCGGGTAAACATGACTTCATGGGCGCAACCTTATGGGTGTATATCGGCGCCGTTGATCAGAACCAGGGGGACTCCCCTCCCCCTAACCCCCCTCTCCCCAACCCCCCCTCCTACCTGGGGGGGGATTCAACCCCCCCCCCTCCCTGGCGCCGACGCCGGCGCTGGCGGCGGCCAGCAGCACCGACGGCAGACGCAGCGACGATGACCAGAGAGGGCCCAGGGGGGGGGTCCAAACCACCTCCCCCACCTCGGCGCCAGCGCTGGCGGCGGCCAGCACCGCCGACGGCGGAAACGTAGCGACGATGACCAGAGAGGGCCCAGAGGCCGTAGAACGGAAACACAAATCGCCATATACACCACCACCACAACAACCACCACCAACACCCTTGGCGGCGCGCACAGGGGGGTTAGGGGGAGGGAGGAAGGCTTCTTAGAAGGGGCCTGCTTCTAAGAAGCCTTCCCTCCTCCCCCTACCCCCCTCTGCGCGTGGTCGACACACCACCACCACCAACACCACCACCGCCACAGCCGCCACTACCACAACCACCACCACCACCACCGCAGCCCACCACCACCATCTGACCCAAAGCCAAAACACGGTGGCGGGAAGACCCGACGGACTCACCACCACCACCACAAACCACCACACCACCACCACCACCGCCACCACCACCACCACAACCAGCACAACCCACCACCACCACCACCACAACCACCACCATCACAACAAGCCACCAACCACCACCACCACCACCACCACCACACCACCACCACCACCACCCACCACCACCACCACACCACCACCACCACCACCACCACCACCACCACCACCACCACCACTACCAAAAACGCCGCCACCACCACCGCATCTACTACCATCACCACAAACTACAACACCACCACCACCACCGCCACCACCACCACTACCACCACCACCAAAAACGCCACCACCACCACAACCCACCACAACCACCACGACCACCACAGCCCACCACAAACCACGACACCACTCCCCCCACCATCGTCACCGACACCACCGCCACCACCACCACCACCACAAACCACCACACCGCCACCACCACCACCACAACCGCCACCACCACCACCACCCTCACCACCCTCACCACCCTCACCGCCATCACCACCCTCACCCTCACCCTCACCTCTCACACCACCACCACCACCATCACCACCACCACCACCATCACCACCACGCCCCACCACCCACCTACCACCAACCCCACCCCCACCACCCACACCCACCACCCACCACCCACCACCCACCACCCCCTTACCACCACAGCCCACCACCACCACCACCTCAGAGAGGCCCCAAGAGACGTCAGAGGTGCCCAGAAGGCTTCACAAATGCCCTTCAGAGGCCCCCGAGAGCCCTCCGACGAGACTCCAAGAGGCAACCATTAGGACTCTGACCCAAACCCAAGGAACGGTGGCGGAGCGTCGTCGTCGTCGTCGTCGTCGTCGTCGTCGTCATCGTTGTCGCCGTTGTCCTCTTCGACGCTCCCCGCCGCCGCCGCAAATCCGCCGATCCGGCGTGTGAGTTTCAAGGAGTCTCAGCTACAGCCTCGAGGCTGAGCTTCAGCCTCTGGGGGGGTCGCCGGGGTGGCTCTGCCGGGGAAGGGGGGGTGGGGGGGGGGGGGGGGGTGCGAGTTTCCGGCGAACCCCGGGGCCGCTCCGGGGGAGTGGAAGATAGGGGGGGGGGGGGCGCCATGCTCCGCTTTTTCCGGCGCTTTGGAGGAGGGGGGGGGCCCAAGAGACCCCCAAGGGGTTCCAAGAGGGCCCCGAGTCGCCGAAAAATCGCTCCAAGACGCCCGAGATGGCCTCCAGACGGCCCAAGGTGTCTCCAAGACGCCCCAAGAAGCTTCCAAGAGGCCTCCCAAGAGGGCCCCAAGAGGCCAGAATCGTTGATTTTCATTGGTTTTCTCAGGGTTTTTAGCGTTCTTGCCTTTTCGGGCGTCCGACGCTCGAAGACGGCCCAAGAGGCCCCCAAGTCCGTCCCAAGACGGCCCACGATGCTTCCAACACGGCCCAAGAGAGCCCCAAGACGGCCCAAGAGGGCCCCAAGACGGCCCAAGAGGGCCTCTGGACAGCCCAAGAAGGCCCCAAGAGAGCCCCAAGAGGGGCCCAAGAGGGGGACCACGAACCGAAAGAACCGAGCTTTCCGCCCCAAGAGGCCCCCAGGAGGCCCCAAGAGACCCCCAAGGGGCCCCAAGAAGCCCACAAGAGGCCCAAAAGAGGTTCCAAGAGGCCCCAAAACAGCTCCCCAGAGGCCTCCAGACTGCCTCCGGCAGGCCCCCGGTTTCTTCCGCGGCACCGCCCAGGGCGCCACCGGCAGGATGTCCTCCGTCTCATCGTTTTCCTTCAAGTTATCGCCTCTTCCTCATTCTCCTCCTCCTCCTCTGCGACCTCACTCCTATCCCTCAACGATCGCGTCACCGAGTGCCTCTTCTTTGAAACATCCTCGCTCTTCAAACGCACATCCATACACACATGCATACATACCTACATTTAAACACATTTGCATACATAGAAAAACAATCTTCCAGACATACATACTTACATTCACACACATACACACATATTATCATACACACATACAAACATACATACAAACTAAATACATACATACGCGCACAAGCATACATACATACATACGTACCTACACACAGGCACACATGATCAATGCATGCATACATGCATGCACGCGTACATACACACACATATATCGTGAAACTCACCGCGTGCTCGAAACTTGAGAGAGACCGCGGGAAGTCGAGAGAAGCCGCGGAACGAGGCCTCTACTACTACTACCACTACTACCACAACCACTACTACTACTACTACTACCACTACTACTACTACTACTACTACTACTACTGCTACTACTACTACTACTACTACTACTACTACTACTACTACTAGTACTACAGGAGCGTTTCCCAACTAGTATGTGTGTGTGGGTGATGCTGTGTGCGCATGTCTGCGGCGCAGGTTAAGTGGTGTGACTGTGTGTGTGCGTTTGAGTGTGCGCCCATAATTTCTGCGTCTGGAGAATAACCCCGAGCGACCCGGATCGGCGGCACTGGCCGAAGGCCACTACAATAGAAGTAGGGGGGCGGGAGAGGGGGGAGGGCCCTCCTCCAAGCGCCCACAGAACGCGCTCTTCCGACCTCAATTGCAACGATTTCCTGGGCGCTCTCGGGCGCCCCTGCGGCTTGCGTCGTGGCCCTTCTCGAAATCTCTGGAGCGTCGGCGGGAGTCCGAACTTCCCACGCGACTTGAGGTGGCCCCCAATGATCGTTCTGGGGCTCTCTTGGGGGTCTCTTGGGCAGTTTTGGAGGTCATGGGGTGCCGGCCAAACAGGCCAACCTCATTGAATCATCCTGCGTTTCTATTTGTTCCCGACCCTCCTGTGTTGGGGTCTCGTTTTGAGTGGCGCACTGCGGCCTCCGTTCTCCTTCTTACTCTTTGTCCTCCTCCTCCTCCTCCTCCTCGCGGCTCCCTGGGGGGCTGCGAAGTGCGAAGGCGTCGCCACTTTCGTGGGCTCGTGGGAGGTTCAGCCGAGTGGAGGGCCACGCAGACCCAGCCGAGACCTCGCGGCTCCCTCGGGGGCTGCGAAGTGTGCAGGTGTCGCCAATTTTGTTGGCTCCTGGGATGTCCAGCGAAGTGGAGGGCCTCGCAGATCCCAGCCGAGACCTCGCTGCTCCCTGCGCAGAGAGGGGTGCTCCTGCGCACTGCGGGCCCTTCAAAATGTTCGTATTGAGCGGTCCTGGGTATAATCGCCACATGTTTAGACATGGTTGGGTACGTCGTAAGGTTTTTTCGCATGCTAGTTTTTCCGGTCGCAGGAGCTGTCAAGACGGCCCAAGGAGGCTTCAAGAGAGCACCAAGAGGGCCTTCGAGGCCCCCAGGGGCCCAAGATACCCGCACGAGACTCCCAACAAGCATAACACGAAGGGGCCTTTGGGCCTCTACACCGCAAGATGGCTCCTCCCGAGACCGCTTCCAGGTCCCCAAGAAGATCCGAGAAGTTCCCAGTAGGCCTCACGAGAACCCAGATAAACCCCCTAAGAGGCCTCAAGTGAACATCAAAAGACCTTTCGAGAGACCCCCAGGGGCCTCGAGGAAGCCCTTGTCCACGACCCGAGCACAGTGGCAGGATGGGCCAAAAGCCAAGCACATGCTTTTCTCTCCAGATGTTGCGCCAATGCCTTGGAATAATTTCAAGCGTGTGCGCAGTGCCGCGGGAACTAATTGCTAAGTGCACCAGTGCGCGCGCCCTTCTCCTCTCTCTCTCTCTCTCTTCCTCACCCTCGTCGTTATTCCCTTTCTTCCGCGGCGGGGATCCCTAATCAGGGGTATCACGAAAACCGTTGAACACAACAATATTGCATAGTCTGTTTAGGGTCTCTGCGCTGGTGCCGCTTCAAAATGTACTCGTAGCAACTCAGAGACAGCCGTGTCGGTCTCGCAACACGCCTCACAAAATGACACGCATAGACTTGTTGGACCCTGTCATGGATGCCGTACTGAAGAGGCCATGATCTTCCTCACGAATGGCCCTGGATGCCTCCTGGCCTTCTGCAACGTCCTCACGGGAATCATCAACCCGCCTCTGCTCGCCGTCCACGAGTGTGCAGGGCATCTCGTCAGCAGCTGCGCCGTGCG